CCCGCACCCGCCTGCCCGGTTAAAGCGGCCGCAGCCCCGGCGGCGGCTCGAGGAGGGGGGCCCCGGATTACCCGGAGGATCTCTCCACTCTGCTCTTTGCTCCCAGGTTGCTCTCAAAATTGCTTCTGCAGATGCCCGCGACTGTTCCAGAGGATGTACTGGAGTCATCCGTTGCTCACAGTAAGATCTGATGCTGAAGTTGAGCATCCCTCCACCTTAGGCACTGGAGCTAAATCTGTTTGATGGGCATAAGCATTGGCATAAGCATAAGCATAAGCAGGCCTTGCTTGACAGCTACCGCTCTTGCCCGAGTTGAGAAAATCTCGATAACCAGCTCTACCTCTGCCTGTGCAGGCTCACCCCTCCAAGAAAGGTGCTGTAGCTGCCAGGACTGTGAATTTAAGCACCCCGTGTTTGCAAATATGATGATTCTCATCCTCTCAGCATTTAAATCCTCTGGATGAAAACCAGAAACTTTCCCACATGGAGAGCACAGAGACGGAGCCTCTCCACACTCCCCCATTATTTGGAGATGAAATTGTCCTTGCTCCTGCTGCGAGTTTGTAGCAGCAAGCCTGAATGCTCTGTGTGCTCTGTGCACAGTCTGGAGAAGAGGGTAGGAGGCATCCCTCATCTACCTCCTCCATCTCTTCCTTGTCCAAAATAAATCCTATTCAAGCAGCTAAGTCTTGCCCTGGAGGGAAGGGAGTTCTGGAGCTGAATCCCTACCATGAGAAGCAAGAGCTGAAAATGAGTGAGTGAAAACTCAATGCAAACTACTGCAAAGGAGAGAGGTTTTCTTTGCCTACAGCTGTCTTAAAAGAAAAGTAGTATTTCCTCTTCCTTCCTTCCTTCCTTCCTTCCTTCCTTCCTTCCTTCCTTCCTTCCTTCCTTCCTTCCTTCCTTCCTTCCTTCCTTCCTTCCGATACTGTGGTGTTAGGAGGGTTTTGTTACTGCATTGATTAAAAAAATAATAAAAAATTAAGGAATAGCTTGTGGGGTTCATGGATTAGCAAGATGTGTAAGTAACAAATCAGCAAATCTCTCTCTCTCTTGCTGAGGAAATGTGATGTGGAGGTGTGGAATAAGATGGTGTTTAAAATAGAGGTCCCTGTGTGCCTGTGGGGAGGGCCACTGCCGTCCCTTCTCCTGGCATGATTGCTTACCTTGTACATTGGGATATTCTTCCCCTCCTCCCCCCCCTTTTTTTTTTCTTTTTTTTTTTTTTTTTTTTTTTTTTTTTTAGATAAACGTACATCTGCCTTCTGTTAGGAGATTTGTGGAGTGAGGCATGGAGTAACACTTCAGAAATGAGATCTAAGTCTCTCTTTCTCCTCTTGATTTTTTTTTTCTTTGCCTAGATGATGAGCAGCTTCAAATGTAGGATGGTGAGAGGAGATTGTTTTCTTTTGGCTGCAATGGTAGGGACATTCCCACTTTAAGTGCTGAACTCCTCCTGCCTGGTACAGGAGGCTTTACTAACTCATTTGTCTCAGACTCCTCTTGGGAGTCCCTGTGCTGTTTAGGCGGCCCTTGAACACCCCTCCTACTGGGTGGTTCAGGAAGGATTTCAATGACTCTTTCTCTATTAGCACTACAATGAATTCAGGGAATCCAGCCAAGTCTGCGCTCCATGTGTCAGACAGGTTTTACAGGGACCTAAGCAGAGGAAATTCTTGTTCTAGAGAGTCCAAATAGCAAATGAGTGGTGATTTTGCAGACTGGGATAGGTCTTCCCCAGCATGGAGCACACTTCAGGACTCTATTACTCATCATAATAGAAACACACAGCCTTACCACAAGATAAATCCCAGGATACAACTTTACTTGAAGATGAAAATGTTACTGTAAGTGAGGATGTCATAATATGGTCAGAGAGAGAGAATTATTTTAGAACTATTATTAGTATTAGCTATCACAAGGGCAAAAAGACATCTTGCTGACTCAGTCAGCTCAACTCAAATCATAACAAATCAAACAAAAAGAAGACAAACATGTAATGCACCTTAAAATGACTGTCATTTCAGCCATTCAAAAAATATAGAGATAAGATGATTCCAAGATAGAGAGCTCTCAGTTCTCTTATGCTGTTATAATCAATGAATCACAGTGCTAGAAGGGTCCCTGGGAAGTCTTTTCGTCCATCCTTTGGCACAGTCAGCTCTTTTCTTGGTGCTGTTCATGCATGGAGGTGCTGTACCTCCACAGGCAGTTTATTTCTGTGCTTCTCCATCCTTATCATTTTCTTAATATCTAACCTGAATTTTCCTTGCAACATTCTCTAAGCACATCTCTCCTTGTCCTGTCCACTACAGACAGGGAGAACAGATTACCCCAGTAACAGCCAATGGCTATTTAACGAACACCTCTTGTGCTTGCACCCTCTTCTTGTTAGGCTAAGCAACCTCAGGTCTGCCACCTGTCTGTCACAGGTCATATTTTCTAGATCTCTGATCATTCTTTCTTTTCTGTTCCAAATTCTGCACATCAGTTTCATGATTTTGTTCTCCTTTTAATTAGTTAATTAATTAACTAATTAATTTTTCTTTTCATCTGTGAGATGCCCATACCTCAACTCAGTTCTACAGTGGAAAGATCTACTTACATCTTATAAGCTACAGTCTTGTTTATACGTTCTGGTGAGATGTCTGCCTACCTCACAGCAGCATCTCAAGATTACCTTGTATACAACCACCTATGTTGAAACCAACTTGATTGATGTCATCAAGGCTTGAGAAGTTTTCCTTGCTCTGTAGACACACGGTGATCTACATGAAGCATTTGACACCGTTGAAATGCTTCATAGTTTTTCCAACATGTACACAAAATTTGTTTAGGTTTTGTTGAATACTGCTCTCCACTGTCCTACCCATTTTTTTGTGAGGATACTCACCAGAGATGATGGTAAAGTACTGCAGTGCATTTCATTAATATCATCTGGATGCATTTATTGCAAGCATTTATGAATCTCAACATCTAGACACCTTGGTGCAAGGCTACAATGGGTGAACAAGGGCCTGTTCAGCATAGGAAACCTCTGTAGCAAAGCCCCCATTGCCACTATAGGGCGAAAGAGCCAAGCTGTGGGTCTAGCAATGAATTTCACGCATCTTTCCTGAAACCTGATAAGGCTCAGTTTGGTCCTTGATTAGTGTGCAGTATTCACTCTTTGTACTTATTTGAGTTTTCTTTTTTCTTTTTTTCTTTTTTTTTTTTTTTTACAGCTCTAAATGAGTTAGGAGTGTCACAGGATTACTAAAAGCCATTTAAGAAGAACTAAAAGTGTTTTGAAGGATGAAACCAGGCAAAATTCATTCATTTTATGCATCTGAAAGTTTATATCACACTCCTCTACTCCCCACAGTAGTAGCGTTTATGTATAGCTTGATGTTATGATACTTAATCACGCAAAAAAAAATGATGTTGTTGACCTTAATGAGGCTATTCTTGTCCTCAGGACTGCAAGCCTGGCACTATGCTCTATAAAGCACTCAGGGGT